GACGCCTCCTCCTTCTCTCCCTTCCTCTCTCTCTCTCTCTCTCTCTCTCTCTCTCTCTCTCTCTTTTCTCTCTCACTATTGTTACATACCTGCGATGCACGAGCCGCTCACCCAGCAGTAGTTACCACTCAGCAGGACCAGAAAAAGACGCAGTCGTCGCCGACCAACGGGCACGGCGGCGGGGTGCCCTCAGTGTAGAAGCCAGCCTTGCCCTTGCACGCCGTGTTGACGTTGGCCTCGAGGTACTCGCACTCGTTTTTGGCGCTGCATTTCCCGGCCACCCGCTGCGCGGTCGGCACGTAAGCCAGGACTGCCAACGGCGCGAGTGTGATCATGATGAGGTTGATGAGATGCATGTTTTTGGAATTGGAAGAGAAAAAAAAAATCGGTGATTGTTTGTTTGTTTCAACTTTAGCGAAAGTGGAAAAGGATGGATGCGGGTTGGTGTAGAAAGACAGCTGATGATTGATAGTAACGATAGACGAGAGGTGCTGGATAGCTTGGATCAGGATAGGACTGAGGAAGACATAGGTATATATATATATATATATATGTGTGTGTGTGTGTATGTGTACATGTCTACAGAAAGTCACAAGCCAGCTCACGAGGTGAGCTGAGTCGCCGGCTGTATGTCTCAAAGAAACGAAACTTACTCTGGCAAACTCATTTCGGTATCGAGGTTTCTCGCCTTACTAGAATCGTCCTACAACAAGCAACTCCCGTCCGGAAGTATGTATCGATCGGCTCGCTTGTTCCACCTTAATACTAGCTGAGCTCGACTCGTTGCTTGTACGAATGCTTGTCGGTACGTAATCTTTAACCGTATAATTAAACTCATTTATGTTGAGGCCGCGGGAACTAGGCAATACTTAGCAAGTCAACCGAGATTTGGGTCTGACGACGGATGTGCTACGGTCAGGTGGTTATATACTACAAGGGGATTCCTTCCTCTCCTTTCTGTTGTCTCTCTTTTTCATTTGCACTGCCTGCGAAAAGCATTCAACTATTATCACCTGAGGGTTAGGACACCAGGGGGTGTAAAGTGGAGATTCAAACATTTGAGCCGCCGTCGGTTCCTCAGGCGGTAATTACAATTATGAGGGCTGTACTGTGTTACGATTTCTCCTTCTTCTTTTTCTCGTTGATGGAAGTAGAAATGGCCTTGACACTTTTCCCGCGCTCAATTTCTCAATTCTCGAATTTCTCAAAAGGCTGGCATCATCGTATCCAGCTTTTCGTTCCTTCAGTCTCAAGTCTTAAGAGAGAGAGAGAGAGAGAGAGCGAGAGCGCACGCCAGAAGAGCTCGTCAATCATTCACCATTCTAGCCATGAATTAGGGCCTCTCTGGTCGCCCACAGATCACTTATCCCGAGGGCAGGTTCTATAGTCTTAGCGTTGAAACCTGCTTTGATCCACCAGGTTTTAAAGTCTACTAAGACTTCAAAACCCCGTCTAGAGGGCCTCTTATACCCCTCCAAACCCGAAACCCTTTTTCGTAACAGGCTTCTCCTTCCCATCTTCCAACCTTCCCTTCCTTTTGCCACTTTTTCTCTCCAATCATGGGGTTGAAACAACTCGCCTAACCATCCGGATGTTCAGCGCCGTTGAAACCCAAACAAGCTGAATTCTGCAAGTAAGATCTCGTTACCGATGTTGAGGTTTTCAACCTTCAGGTTTTACAGTCTAGATGCCATGATCCATGGGCGACCAAAGAGGCCCTTTGACCCCCCCCCCCCCCTCCCCATCCCCATGATTCCTCTACTCAACTCTCCACCCTTCCCCAATTTCCAACAATCATACATACAACCCCCTCATCATCACCATACACAGTACACCCTCCTCTATCCTCCAGCCTTCAGAAAGGACCTCTCCAAGTTCCAACCTTCCCCAACGATCATGCATACACATCGCTCGTCATCACACACCAAACCTTCCGAGACGATCCCAACCAAAACAAGCACATTGCCAGCCCGATCGACGGCCGAGAAACTTTTCGAACTTGGAAAATAAACAGACGCCAATTCTGTCTGGGTAGTTTCCGCAAGGGTCCTCCCTTCCCTTCCTTGTCTTTGTTGAATTCAAAAAGCGTAGTATTATTATAGTGCCCCGCAACTGCTATTAGCCGAAAATCATAAAACCGCGATTTTTCGCGATACGCGTTTTTTTATCTTGTACAACTATTATAAAAATGCTACCTCAACGTACTCCTTTTACTACGACGTTTAATAATCGGCTTATTCGGCATTATCTTTCTTTTTATTAACGAGGATTAATTATAAGCGGCTTTGCTTTTGGTGCAAATCCGATTGTTATTGCAAAAGCTTTCGAAATACTTTGTAATACGATTAATTATACTCGAAAGCAAGCTTTATTACGTAACAAAAGTACATTTATATCGAAAGCTGCTTAGCGGAAATTATATTTAGCATCCGACGAACGAATTCTATTACGATACGTTCGTTTAAATCTTAAGGATTCATACAAAGATATTATTCGAGCGTGTAATCTCGATTGTAAAGAGACTATCGTTAAGAAGATTTTAAGAAATCATAGAATCTTTAATTAGAAGTGTAAAAAGCGCTTCGAACTTATAAAAAAACACGCGGTTGCTCGATTATAATAATGTTTAAACTATCGAAAGTAAACGGTCGAGGATTAAAAAGAAATCGTTTGGTCGGATAAGTATTCTATCGAGCGAAGTCGAGGAAAAAAAACCGAATAGGTTTTTCGCACGCTTAAAAAGAAATAAAATCGTCGGATAATCTAAACATACGATGCGAAAAAGAATATGAAAGTGATAGTTTAAGAAGCCTTTTAAGATCGCGGAAGATCGAATCTTTATATTATAAATCGAGATTTCGAATCGAAAAAACACGAGTATTCGGTATAATCTTACTTCGAAATCCTCGAAGTCGAAATCAAGCTAATCTTTCGAAAATTGCTTCGTAAATATTAATTTTAGCAAGATAATGCATCAATTTATATTGCAAAGAAAGTTCAGCTTTAGTTCGGCAAAAATAAAATTATTTATTAATTAATTAGCTATCTTTTTTTCTCGATCTCAATCCGATCGAGCACGTTTAATAGCATTTTAAAGAAAAAGCTTTACTAAACGTTTCTTAACGTTGCGATCGATAAATCGAATTCGAAACACGCAAGGCAAAAGATAAAAAGTTGTTTGCAAGCTGCATAAGATACATTAGATCAATCGTTATTCGATAATTTGTATTAAAGTATGCTAAATAGAATTAAAGCTTATATCGCGGCTAAAGGCTAGCATACTAAATATTAAGGTTCGTGCGCTTTCGAAAAATTAGCTTAAAAATTAAGAAAGATAAAAGGAGTCTAAAGAATAAAATGATATTTTTTTAATTTAATTTGAATCTATAATTATTACGTAATTAAGGTATAAAAAATGGATGTCTATTATTGATTTGGAGTTCTCGCTTAAATGGCCAACAGCAGTTGCCTAGTACTGTACAGTACTTATCAAGAAAGAGCCGCTCTAATCCGCGCCAAATTCCACTCCGTCACGGGAAATTAAAGCTGAGAAACTCGGCACGACTAGCAACTGTTGTTGTACTCGTGGTGTTCGCAAGTCTGAGGAGAGGCAGCTCTTTCAAGTGAGAGGAGAGCAGTACCGGTAGTGGCGGTGGTGATGGGGGTGCCCAGACTGACCGCCCGGGCCACTGCGCCAAGTCCGATCCCGAGTCCTGGACTCCGATCGCCCCATTCTCCCTAGTCTAGCATTTCCCACGGAACCCCCCTCTCGTTTTTAAAGTAGTAGTAGTAATATCAGGTACGGGATTTAGTAGTAAACTAAAATTACTACGGAAGAGGAGAGTTCAAAGTCTTCTTTGCACTGATACGTACCACGGTACAGGCCTAAGTACTGTATTACCGGTACTGTACCCCTCGAGGGTAGGGTAACCAGGGTGTTCAAAGTGGAAACTAAACTTTTGAGACACCCTCGAGGGGTAACTGCAAGGGCGATCGAGAGTTTAAAAGTCTCCTTACCCTACTGTACGTAAAGGCAGCAGGTAGAGGGGTCCATTTAAAGGGTCCACAGAGACCCTCTTTTCAAAGGAAAACTGTTTATCGGATCGCTTGAAATCAGCGCTAGTTTCACACCGAGAATATTGGTGACGTTCGCCACATTGCTGTTAATCTCGACTCATATACTACGTACATTACTGATATTACTTATTGATATCAAGAAAGGGGGGGATGCTGGAGAGACAGACCACTGCTTGTATCGGACGTAGAGGGCTATTACGAGGAATGAAATGCTAGAGACAGCTGCTTGCATCGACCGCACGCGACGTAGAGGGCCGCTATATAAAGTGAAATAAATCCTGTACTCGCAACAGGCAGGCAGGTAGGTATTCCTCCACGACGCCACGAGCAAGGATAAGAAGAGAACCCAGTCTCGCGATTCTTTCGTCATCGATCTCGTCTTATCGCTATTTTCATGTGCGTACTACACCTCTCGAACTCTTCACCCGAAGATCACGCATCTAAAAAAATAGAAAATAAAATTATAGATATATTTAAATTTAACTCCAATCGCGAAGGTTCTGCTGTCCTTGCCCGGCATGCAACTCTGGCGGAGTACTGCCATCCTACGGTCCTACTCTAGGTAGATCTACAGTAGCCCCATCGCTTCGCTTCGCATATACATCCTGAAGCTGGGTAATTGAACAAAAAAAAACATGTAATATATATATATATATTTTATATTTTTTTCAAGATGCAAACGTACGAAAAGTAGCTTCCCCTCTCGATTCGATACCGACCGATACTACGCAGTGACTACCCACGACCCCAACTCGATAGCAAGCCGCCTGACAACCAAGAAGGTGGCGGCGGGAGGGAAGCAGAAAGGCGCAAAGCGCATATGTCAATCAACTAGGTAGGTAGGTACCTAACTCATCGCCCCTCCTTACTAGCTACTGACTAATCCAAATGTCTTCGGGGACGGTCCTACAACGCTCAAAAACGCTCAAAAACGGTCCTTACAACGGTCCCACAACTCATCTCCTCGTTGACAAAAAAAAAAAAGAAAAAGAAAGTGTGACTTTCTCATGAGACGACGATCTCAACCACTTCAATCGGTCCTGTCTTGTAGCAGTAATTCATAAATATATATATATACATATATTTATCTATTTGTACATCCATTTATCACCATAATCATCCCATCAAATTCATCCAACCCCACCTCCCACCTCCCACCTCCCACCTCCCGCCTCCGCCTCCGACTCCGACTCCGATTCCGATGTTCCCGCCTATAGTAAACCAATCAACCAATCAACCAACCAATCAATCCAACACAACAACACTACCAGCTACCAGGTATGCCAACCCACCTTCTAAAAACCGTTTTCACAAAAGAGATGGCTACGTAATTGGATGATGAAGCAAGCGGGGTGTCGAAAAAAGCTTCTCTGCGTTCCCTTTTTCGAGGTTTCCGTCGTTACTCATGCATGTGGTCTTCATATCTATGATTATATATCTACACCTATGAAAAAAAAAAAATAATATATATATATATATATATATATAAATATTCTATACGTAGAAGCTAGGCTAGGCAAGACAAGATAAAGCTAGGCAAAGGCTTGATTCGCGATGTAGGGGGGGGGGATGAGGAATGTGAATGGATATTACCGATGACTTTGACGACAAATAAATCCCCACCTACGCACTCATCTTATCATTTCCTTCATCAGAGGAAAGGTGGCAAGAAAATCAAATGAATACAAGAGATTGATAGGTGACCGATAAGGAGGAAAGTCATTTGGCAGAAGGGAAATGTATTCGTCTGGTTTCTTTGTTACATGGATCTATCACTCCGCTGTACAGACACATCGCTTTGCCTCGCCTCGCACTGCACTCCTTCCTCTCTTCTGCTCGTGTCCTCCCCTCCCCTCTCAAAAATATCACACACCCCGCAAGCAATACCACGCCCTATTTATCTCTTTCTACGCCCTCATCAGCACAAAAATTCCGAGGTCGCCTTCCAAATCGCTTCCAAATGCCCTCAGGCAATAAATACACCGAGAAAACAGCAATGCAAGCAAATATCGCTGAAAAAGACGGCCAGCAGCCCCAAAAGAAGGAAACGCCTACGATGGACGCGTGTCTCTGTGATCTGCATCTTCTCCTCGGCATGTGTACGCCGTCCTCAGCATCGTGGCAATGGTCGATTGCTGCCTTTCCGTCTCAGTGCGAAAGCCCGTTCGTTGACCTCTGCCAGGTAAGGTAGCCTGTCGTAATTCGTCCCAGGATTCGAGCCTTGCTGTATCAATATCTACCCTGTCCGGTGTATCGAATCGTCTCTGTCGTCTGCCTGGCCAGTATGCTCTTCATCATAGACCTGGTCCGAGCCGGAGCTGAATGCCCCGTTGTTCCAGAGTCATGCTGGTGACGATCACGGGTATTCCCAACTAATCTCGTATTCCGATATACTCGGGCCATCCCACTTCTCGCCGTAGGGATTCATGCGTCCATGAGAAAAGAAGCCGTCGTGGGCTCGTTGGATAACGTTGAGCCAGGAAGATGGCTCGGGATTTCTGAGCCACTGTGAGTTGTTAGCTAAGCTCTCCCAGGCAAGGGAATAGGGTTACACACCTGATTGTGAATGTGGTACGTCCACGCCCCGCGGAAGAAATTTTCCATCGTGCGGTTCGTAGGCGGATATCGGTCTTCCTCAATCCTATACTCGGCCCTCCTCAGCGCATCGCGGTCGATTGTGGCAGTTTCAGGTTTCTCCGACGCAACCGCTCGCCCCTCGACCTCTCGAATCTCCCAGAAATGCCCTGTAGGTTTGTCGGTTGATAGCTTCAGCTGTGGTCCCTCGAAAGTCTTCCATTCGTCCTTCAGAGGAAAGGCGTTCTTGCTCTTGAAGACTTGAGCGTAATCGTGGATACATGGGACCGTGCATTTCCCAAGTCTTCCCCAGTTGAATTCCGTCCAGATTGGATCGAAGGCGGCTGTCTCTAGCATGTGAAACTCTCGATTGCGGTGATCCTTGACGGCCATGACACCGATCACTCTCGGGTGGAAGTTGAGACCCATGCGGACGCCACCGCGGAGAAGGTACGAGGACAAGGAAGAGTTAGCGGACAGAGACATGATCGCAGTGTTGTAGTCCCCTGGGCTTGTATGCCCTCCCCATCTCTCGGCAAAGGAGTGCTCGTCGCCAATCAACAAAGGTCGCATATCCCTCAACATCACGATATCCATATCAAAGTATGCTCCTCCATAGAGGTGCAGAACTACAAATCGAACAGCATCCGAAACAGCAACTGGCAAAAAAGTCATCTGCTTCTCGGTCAGAATCAGCCACTCCTGGTCGTTGGCGTCGCGGATCAACCCATCCGCCACCAGTGTCTCGTTCTGCGAATTTGGCTTCCCTGGTGTTTTGTAGTACCCCACCCCGTCAGTGTTATCGCCTTTCGGTAGGGGAATCCGGGAAGGGAATTTCCATGTCTTCAAAACAATGTCGCCCCTTGCGACGAAGGGTAGGAACTTCTCGAACAGGGGATCCTGGTTTAACATCTTGTCCACGGCCTTTGCATCCCGATCACCATCCAACCAAAGATACAGCCGAACACAAGGGATGTTCTGGGTGTGAAAATGGCTCTTGATGAACAACTCGACTCTCCACGTTGCTGGGCCGGTCCAGTAGACGTGGTAAGGAACGATCGGGCCATTGCATCGTCCGGTTGACTCCTTCGTAGCCGCTTGGTGTGAGGGGTACTCGTCGAGGGTATTGCCGGCGCCATCAGCATCGAGATATTCGGCGTACTTGGGGACTTGTTGGCTGGCTGCCTCCACCCTCGCGGGCTTGTAGAAATATTCCTTCTCGCCCTCACTCAAGTACTTCAGACAGTCGTACACATAAGGCATCTTCTCAATGTTCTCGTATGAGCCTCTGCATTCTTCTACTAGCCTCGTCAGGTTTGCCACGGTGTCGATGTGCGGCCTCTTGCCCAGGTAATCGTCTCGAGGGACGACGAGGCTCTCGGGCCGGTTGAACCAATTAGCACTGGGATTGATCTTTTCGGCTTTGAGTTTGCTGGAGGGCCTTTGGGAGCCACTCTTGTCAAAGGCGTGAGGGTGGGAGAGAGGGTGCTTGTAGAGGTCACTGGGCGAGGCTGGGAGGGAGCCTTTTTGGAAGACGGACACCAGGAGGAAGAGAAATCCGTAGAGTGCAGCAGCAGCCAGCACAGTCTGCAAGACGCCGCAGGCGTTCCTGGCACAGCTGCTCTTTGCCATCTTTGCTGTGGTATTGTTGAAGGCGGCCGCTTCGACTTCTTTCTGTTCTGTGGGGAGCCCACTTGGCTCAGTTGTGGAAGAGAGGGGAAGAGTCGCAAACGCGTCGGGGGTGTCTTCACAGATGTCCAGACGCCATGGATGGGTGGTATATCACCAGCTCTGCAGATGAATGCGAGAGACGGATAGGTGAACGGTAGGAAGGATCGTGTACCTAAAACTTGAGCTAGGGGTTAGTCGGATGGACCAGCGTCTATGGAGAAGTCGCCGCTCAGCTGAAATGGACTTACGGCAGTAGATGAGCCCGTACCCGTGAAGGCAGAGATGCTCTAGTACTTGAAGAAGATCGAGAGGGGGATCATGAGGGGGGAAAGAAGGAGAGTTTGCAGATGAAGATGAAAATGAAGCTGAAGATGGAGATGGAGAAGAAAGAGTAGTCGGAGAAGAAAAAGTAGAAGCAGAAGAGAAAGAAAGAAGAGGTAGAAGAAATAGCCGCAGCAGAAGAAGAAGGAGAAGAAGAGGAAGAAGAAGAAAAAAAAAGTTGGTGGAGGAACAAGCGCAAGTGAAGGTGTCAGCCTCTAGGTTTCGAGTTTGAGTTGAAGCTCGACCTCAGGGCAATGCTGGAAGTAGGGGTGTGTCAAAGAGCCGGCCCTAGATTGGCTGTGCGGCAGATCACGAGACCAGAAAGGGGGGGGGGGTTTTATGGAATTTGCGCATGCTCGATTCCTCGATTCCTTCGACTGTGGGGGTTCTGGCTCTTGGCATTTGGCCGCTTGGGCTTGGCAGAGCTTGGCACTGGCATTGGCATATCGACTTACTTCTAAAGTAGTAGTAACTGCACTACCGTACGGTTGGGCACCCCTGCTTATCTTCTTGCTGGCTCCTTGCCCATTGCCATCTGACCAATACGCTGCCCGTATTCGCCGCGTTATGCGGCTTTGGGCGTAGCTTGGTGGGTGGATCCGGCGGGGAGAAGTGGGCCAAGGTGGGGCGGGGCTTATGCTGACGCTTACGCTGCAGAAGACCGGCCAAGGAGTCAAGGACAACGCTCGTCTTGTTTTGTCTCTCTTCTTACTGTATTACTAAGCGAGCTATTATTGTGTAACGGATGCACAAAGATGTGACTTGCTACTAAATACAAGTCAAAGCAAAGGGTCGTTTCAAGGGTCCCAAGGGGACCAACCTAGTTGTACTACGTACCGGTACCTACGATAAATGCTGGTCGGCATATGCTGATCCTCACTATATTTCTACCATCTTCCCATTTTCCCATCTTCCCATCTTCATTGAACTTCCTCCGTCCGCCCTTGGGTCTACGAGCCATGCCATCCTGCGCTAATTGGACTTCGTTTCCTGTATCGATGCCGTCCGTATAACGCACGCAATGCGACGCGTCCCGACGCGACGAGCGAATGCTTAACTTGATGCCAAGCTCTGGCTCCCCTCAATAAGATATCTCTGTATTGAGGGCGAGAAGCTCTGACTAGAACTAACTATATATATGTATCCTTAGTACTTAGTACTTGGTAGCTCTGACTAAAACCAGCTATATATATCCGTAGTACTTCTTGGTGGCACCATCTAGGTACAGGTCTCTCCTTGCCTCTCCTCTCCTTTCCCAGCTCCTTCCTTCATCGCCTGCGTATCCCGTAAAATTCGCAACCAGAAAAAGCTATTTTTAATGCATCTTCCATTACATTCGTTACAGCCCTACGGCTAATCTGCTGGCTTGTAAGATACTACTACAACTACGTATTGCAGTTATGCCTTTTTCTGCCACCCGACATGGCATGATGATGAGTGACCGCCTGAGAACTGAGGCAGTAGACCCAAGGTTGAGACGCCATGAGCTTACTGTAATCTAAGCGAGTATTTGCCCGCAGCTGGGGCTGCCCCTGACCTGACTCTCCTATTACGTATCACGTGCCACGTGTCATCCATATCTCGCCCGTACACCGTATCCAGGCACGCAACCGAAATCTCAGAACCTCAGTCGGCGACGTCGCAGCGGCACCGCTTCACCAGCCATGCAATTTGCTGCTGCTGCTGCGTGTTCAAGGGGGCTGAGACTGAAAACCAAGCCGGTCAGGATCAGCGTTGGGCCTGGCCAAGCATCCAGCTTCGCGAGGCTGATATCTCCCTCACGTGGAATCAGTGGTCAATGTGAGAAGCTCAACATCACTTGTGGATCTTCTGGGTCCATTACCGTCGAGTATGTGATCACATATACTCCTCTCTCCGTACCCCTATCCCCGAAATGTCACTCTCGCCTATTATCGCACTCACGTGACATACAAGTAAACAAACCCAACTGACCTCCTCACAGCCTCTACAACTCCGCTGCCCTCAGCTCCCCCTCCAGCCCCCTAGTGATTCACCTGCCTCCGACCGGGCACCACCAAAGAGAAAACCACCCCCCTATACCACCCTACCTCTTCTCCGCCTCTGCCGCCCTCCTCTCCATAAACTACCGCTGGCACAACAGCGCCTTTCCCTCGGCCTCGCCTAATGGCGGACGCATTCCCTCAGCCGCCATATACAACAGCCACCCTTTCCCCACGCCTCTGCACGACACGCTTCACGCCTACCAGTACCTGCTCACCACCCTCCTCCCACGCTTCTCACCGTCGCCGAAAAAGCAAGATGGCAACGGCAGGACATCTTTATACGCTCGTCCCGTGCCAGGGACGAAACATGTCCAGAGACCGATCCTGATCTATGGCTCCTTTGTGGGAGGCAGTATAGCGACTTCTCTCGCCCTCACGGAATCCTTCGAGGCAAAATCGCTACCGACCAGGATAGTAGGCTTGATCACCAAGAATGCCGTGTTCGACTGGACTGAAATCGCTACCTCCATTGCTCCAGAGCTCCCGCAAGAAGAGGAGGATACGTGGACACGAGCCCCAACCGGATGGGACGCCACAACGCTCCACGCGCTAAAGGCCCACCTCTTCACTTCGCCGGCATCAGCATTCGACGCCTTCGCATCCCCGACGCAGTTCTTCCGCACGCCAGGCCTCGTCGTCCCTCTATCCTGGCCAGTCAGAGACCCTCCCAGTCCTCCTCCCACCCCACCGTCGTCCCCGATCCCACCTTCCTCGTCACCCTCTCTATCGGACCTCGAGGATCCCTCCGTGGATTTTGACGACGTCGGCCCGTCGTCACCCCTCGCCCCCGACCCAGCCTCCGAGTCCGTCTCTCTCCTGAAACGCCTCTCGGACATGCAAATCGAGCAGCCAACCCGGCCCGCACATTTGAAATTCCCCTCTTCAGCCAGCGGGCTGCGGATCCCGCATTCGCTCTTCCTATACACACCCTCGTCCCCTCCCCCTCCCTCCTCGCCACCACCACAACCCAACTCACCCGAACCGGCGGCAACCAGGCCGACCCCCGCTTCCAAATGCTCAGCAAGCGCAACGCACTCCGCCAAGCCGAAACGGAAACCACGGAAGCTGGAAGGGGAGGTGGCAGCGGCGCGGCAAGACGCCGAAGGCGACATCTCGCCCGGCGGGCAGGCGAAGCAGATGGCTGCCTTGCTGAGGCGAAGCGTCCTCGTCCACGAGTTTGCGAGCAGGAAAGTTTGGGACGAGACGCTCGATCCGGGCGCTGCGTCGGAAGAGCGGGCGCAGGTCGTGGGTGTGGGTGTGAGTGTGGGTATTAGCGGTCGTAGTAATGGGAGGGTTGAGGGGAAGGCAGATAGTGGCGAGGAAGGGGAAGAACAAGAAGAAGAATGGGAGAGCAAACCCGGCGAGGACCACGAAGAGAAAGTGGTAAGGGAGTGGATCGAAGATGTCCTTGGCTGAAATGGCTGGCCACGTACGTACGTCCGGAAGATCGATCGATCGTTCCTTCGTTCCTTCGTTCCCTCTCCTTTCTCCCCTTTCCCTCTCCCTTCCTCTGCGCAAGGACAGCCAGCAGGGCAGTAAGTAAGTAAGTAGCACATGCAGAACTTCCATCCCCTAGCCAAAGCTAAAGCTATACCCCGACCCGAAACCGTTCTGCTCGGCTCGGCTCCAATACACACACAAGCATGCATACGTACATATATACACATCGCGCTGCTCAGTCAAAATAAATGCTGTAAAGCTGCTCCCGATCATCTTTGTCCAAGTCAGTCAGTAGGTAAGTAAGCAAGTAAGTAAGTCAGTCAGTCAGTCAGTCAGTCAGTAAGTAATCAAGCAAGCAAGTGATTGATTGATTGATTGATTGACTGAGCGGCTAGCATGATCTCGATCTCTATCTAACTGATCATCCCTCCCTCGCTGCTCGCTGGCGATCAACAGCTATATCCCGCACGGAGTGCATGTAGATAGGAAAGCGAGCTTAAGCCTAAGCCTGAGCCTGAGTTGAGTTAGCCGAACGTTTCCCGACCATCTCACGGTGTTGTGATTCAGACTCGGAGTTTTTTTATTTTTCTTTTTCTTTTTCTCTCTCTTATTTTTTCTCTTATTTTTTAATTTCTGTCTGTGTATATATATGCATCTCTCTCTCTCTCTCTAGGTACTAGATCTCTCATCTTTCTCTCCCTCTCTTCTCGCAAAGTAAGTAATCCGTAAAGGGAAAAGGAGACAGTCCATCCAGCCGTTAATCACGATCATGAATGAGCGCTATGTTCGTTCACACACACACACGCTGGAAGAGAGAGGGCCGAGGAGGTGCGTGTGTACATACCTTATCTATTCCCCTCATCTACAACGGCGGCGAGCTGGACTGTCATCAGGAAAAAAATCAAAAATCAAAAATCAAAAATCAAAAATCAAAAATCAAAAATCAAAAATCAAAAATCAAAAATCAAAAATCAAAAATCAAAAATCAAAAATCAAAAATCAAAAATCAAAAATCAAAAAA